ACTAAAGATCAAACACTGCAGTCATCTGAGTTTGCTGCTCTTACAGGTAATCATTATAAAATATTAATTATGGGATAAGTTATTTTCCTGACAACCTTTTTCTTTCAGTGCAGAGAATGGATTCTGGAGAATGCACCACGGGGTAAGGCAGAACACTGTGGCTATTTTTTAATTTGCTAGAGTAGTTAAATATTATATGGGTGACAGTCTGAGAAGGGGTTTTAATCCAGGTAGCTGGAGAAAAGAACAGACATGGGAACAAGAAACAGCAAAACTGATCCAAGGAGAATAAATCACACAGTAAGTTTTCCTGGCACCTATTGACTTTGTCTTAAGTTTGCTTTAGCCACGGCGATCCAGGTTCTCAGGTTCCATGTAGCAACTAATATTGACTAATATTAATAATAAAAAAAGGTGTCACTGGAGTCCCTTCTATAAATAAAGATGGATAGATGGTTGGTGCTCATAAGAGTAATACCACAAACTAGATACTTGCCATTTACTGGTGAAACTGAGGAGATGAACACAGATTATCTCAACTTCAAGATAACTCTCTCGCTTAAGAGCACTATGGATTTGGCCTGGTGAAAAAGCTATGCCTAGAGATTACAAGCAGATTTAAGAGTGACTATATAAGGTGTAAAACATCCACTACATTCTTCATTTTTCAAATCCCTCACTTAACACACGCAGCTCCACTCGGTAGAGAGCAGCACACAGGGTTACAGAAACCATGCCTTGAAGAAGGCAGAAAGTGTTCTGAAAAAGTCCTGAGCATCTTAACTTCTATCAGGAGGAAAAAAAAAATCAAGGGAAGGCTTCCTCTCACCTCTAAATGGGCAATGCCATCCCTAGATATCACAAATGCCAAGGAATTATTCAAAGAGAGAATGAAGGGCTGCAAAAGAACCCTTGAGAAAAACTGCTGGTTCTTAACCTTCAGAACATTATTTAAATATTGCACCGGGAAACAAGGCATAAGATCACTTTGGGGAAAATGAGATAAAAAGTAAAAAAAAAGGCTGCTGATGAAAGAGAAAAACAAAACAAGTTTGGAAAGAAAACCAGAAGCTCATGAGGTTTATCTGCTGCCCAAGGCAGGATGAAGCCTGCTTTGTTACCCCTGAAAGGTATTTACCTAGCTTATTCTGTAAGATCACCATAAGTCACATCCTCCCAAATATTGAGTCTGCTGTTTCTTCTTACATTAGAAAGGCTTTGTAATGTGCAACACATCATCAGTGTTTTTTAACACCTTGCTTTTAGCACAGTGCTTTTTAACAACAAGTTGTCATCAGTCTTTCTATTCACATCTCCCTTCAGACTTCTATAGACAACGTTGTTCCTTCTTTATAGTCCTCATTGGTTTTGTTTCCTAGATCCATCACTGTCAAATTTAGTACATAACCCTCTTCATAAATGATCAGGCACCATCTTTAAACTTGCAATGAATTTCTCTCACTGCTTTGATATTTATTCAGTTTAAATACATTTCAGTCAGTGTTCCTCTCTGTTCTTCTTTTGCCATGGCTGCCTTTTAGCTTGCAAGCTCTTCCCTCCTAGCATCTGCATTTCTGCTTCTTACGCAGTTTTCAGCCTGGTGGGCTAAACACGCCAGCCTCTGCAAGACTTTTCTCTGATGACCCCTGCCCTTGTCCTGCGTTCAGGCACTCCACAACCTGCCTGACCTTCTGCCGAGGTAAGCAAAGCTGTATGGAACATAACAAAGACGCAGAAAATGACATCAAGGATTT